CCCGCGCCTGCCCCCCGCAGCTCCCTGCCCAGCCTGGCGCATCTGTGCCAGCCTGCGGGGACACAGAGCCCTGGGCGGGGGGAGCACCAGGCACCCCCTCCTGCACCCACAGCACTGGTGGTGCCAGCGCCCCAGCTGTGTGAAGGCAGGGACCGCGGCATCGCCATGGCAGGGATGCGGGGGGGCAGGGTGAAAAAAAAGCAGCTCCGGGGGCGGGGACGCTGGCGTTGGTAGTGCTTACCGCTCCGGTGAGGAGCTCGAGGCCAGTGAAGGGCTGGGGGCTGGCCGAGGTAGGGGGATACGCAGCCTGCAGGGCCACCACGAAGACCAGGAGGATGAGGAGTGAGATGATGTTGAACATAAGGAGTGTCTTCAGGAAGATGAAGTAGGAGAGGACACTGGAGCCAAAGCGGCTGCCGATCTGCTTCAGGGAGTAGTGCCAGGGCTGCGCGGCGAGGAGCAGGGAGAGGATCCTGTACCAGAGACCCCGGCAGCCCTGGGGAGAGAGAGCCTGGGGAGAGCACCAGGGCCAGAGCCTGTACTGGAGCCCCTGACAGCTGCCGCGCAGACCCGTGCCCCGGACTTACAAGGATGACATAATCCTTGGACCATCCGCAGGGAGAGGAGGGGGCCTGGTGCTGGGCACGCTGCCGCAGGGGGCCCCTCTGCCCCCTCAGCTCCTGCCTGCATGGCACAGAGGGGTGTCAGAGGGTGGTGCGGGCCCCGGGATGGCTCTGGCTGCAGGAGCCCTCCCTGGCCGGGGCTGGTGGGAGAGGACCTACCGGAGGGTGCATTTCTCTGCCAGGCTGAGGGGCATGGTGAGCAGCATGTGGCTGCGCTGGCTGGGCGAAAGGCTCAGCAGCTCCTTCACCAGCAGACTCTGCTTGTCTGGGGGCACAAGGGGCTCAGCAGGATGCAGCCGGCCAGGACACGGTGTGCATGTCCCGAACCCGGCGTGACCGTCCCGAACCCGGCATGGGGACAGTGCCCGGCACTGACTGCCCCCAGGGAACCCTC